GAGTGCCGTATTTTTTCATATTCTAAAGTTAAACCACAAAGGCACAAACTCGGAAACTCCAAATTCATGTGTTTCTTACATAAAAAGGCAGTAATATTCAGAATTATGAGTGCAATAACGAAGCCAAATCTACTTCCAAAAGCACAAGAAATCTTTTGAAACATGATGGGATTGTTACTTCACGTTAAGGTGTCGTGCACGGGTTCTGCAGGCACTGTTTAGTAATAATCCTTGTACAATTTGCGCATATGCCTGGTCCTTTTTCTTTCAGACCAGCAGCTAGTGCGATGATTCATTTTTATCCTAATCTGGCAAGAAGGCTGCCTTTTGGTTTACCCCATTTTCCCATTTTAAGTAAGCTTTTGTCCTGCTGGTTCAATCACCATTAGATATATCAAGTACTGTAAGCATTGGTCTTGTAAGTTCACACCAAAGAGGTGGGGGCAGGTACCCCGTCTATCTCACTATCACCATCACCATCACCATCACTCTTCTTATTGTTAGCAGTTAACTCACACACTCACAGAGAGAGAGAGAGAGAGAGAGAGGTGGCGTGGGTAGGAGTGGGGTTATAGTAGACATGGGAGAGATGTAGTGGAATCCCCTTCTCATGTTTTGTCTTTTTTGGAGGAATATGGTGGATGTTTCATATTCGTAAAGAGTAAAGCGATATAGACGAATATTGAGAACTTAGAGAAGAAATATAGAAAACGGTGACATTTGGCATATTTAGCACGCATCACTTACAACAACAAACAATAAAAGGGATCTTGTTCTTAATAAATTTGAGGACGACGACATGAATTTTTTTAGGGCAGCCAGAACTTAGTGCAAATCAGACCGATACCAATATCGATGCAGCGGAAATGCAGGGTGATACATTTAGATATTGTTCTTCAATCTTGACTAGAATTTAGTGTTCATGAAATCAATGGACTTGTGATCGATCGCTCTATATTCATAATTGAACGTGTTTATCTTTTATTCCGCTGCATCACATCACAACAAATAGACTTGATTAAAATGAATTTGAAATCAATTAGGTGAACTCCTTTTAGGGAACCCAGGATTGAGTGAAAAATCAGACTGATCCATAAATAATTTTGAAGCAAGCAAGCTAGATAAAATTGTCTTATTAAAATCTGATATTTCTGACTCTTCTGTTAATGCAGCAAGTAATAAATTCGTCTGTGAGCCAAAGAAAAGGACATGGAAACCCTAAAGAAACAAATGAAAAGGTAAAAGCCAGTGATTAAATGGCCCCCATTGAATAATAATGCAAAGATGACAGAGAAAGTTGAACTGCACGTTTCTTCTCTGTCATCAAATTTAAAGATAAAATGAAGAGTAATGCTATTCAGTCCCATTGGAATTACAACCTTAGTTTAGGTGGCGTTAATGTGGCATTAAATGATAGGTGAAATTAAATAAGTCACATTTCATTTAACCTATCATTTAAAGCTACTTAAACTGGGATTGTAACCCCAGTGGGATTATAGCATTACTCTAAAATGAAACAACGTTGAAGTCTTTTGCTTTTTGTATTTTTCCCTCTTAACCAGCTTCCTCAAGACAATTCTTTACACAGAAAAAGCTTTAGTAGAGAGAGATAAAGAGAAAAGTGGGGCATCCTATGAGTACTTGGGAATATTCCTACCATATATCAGCTCAATGCCGTAACAAAACTGAAAGAATGCCGTTTACTAACTTATTTGCGGCGTGCCATAAAATTTTTTTGCGGCCTACATAGAATGCCTACCGTTACCTAAATTTACGGCTTCCATATGTCCGCTATAAAATAGACGTCTCTTTTTCCGTCATACATTGAATGCCATGAAAAGCTAATTTTATTGTAGTGATTGCTTGTTGATTAACAATTCTTTATTATTGTGTTATGCATGAAATATGAGATTTTGTAAATAAATTGACTTATGTGGTTGGAGCATGTCTTCATTAAAATTAACCAATTATGACTATGATACTCCTCAGTTTATCTATTTCCACAGAAGTCTTATCATGCTTTTATTTATATGTCATATGATATTATAAAGATTAGAAATTCTCGAGTGCTAATTTACAAATTTGTTGACGCCTTTAATTCTTCGCGCCTCATACAATTCCGATTGGTGGGGAATGTAGATTATTGGAACATCAACTAGTGTCTATGTGTTTTTCTTGCCAAGAATCCCATTTATTAGAGTTCCAAGAAGCAAAGAATTGTTGCTTGGTACTCAAACAAGACCAAGTACTCATCCGTTACCTTTTTGTTTTATGAAATTGGCACTAATTTTTCGCCACGGAACAAATAGAGTGGGTCTATCCTTTCGGCTCAAGGCTCTGTGCTCGGGAGGGGATGAGCTTGCATGAGTTGAATGACGTACACAATATCGGAATAGAAGTAGGCACCTTCAAACCATATATAAAAGTCAAGAATAACAACACAAGCATCTAAATGCCAGCTCACTGCAAAGCAAAGAGGTCAACACAAGCAATATATTGCCAATCTTTGTGACATACTTTAGGTGAAAATAATTAGAGTAATGCTACTTGCAGTCGCTCACTACAGCAGTTGCCATATGTGACACACACATGGTATGTAGTTATTTGATGCATTAATGTGATAGTTTTTTTACCACATTTAATATATCAAATACACACTTGATATGTGTATGTCAGATAGGGCGACTGCTACAGTGAGCGACTGCAAGTAGCATTATTCAAATAATTAATAGTGTCTCCACTGAAATTAATCTTCAATATGTCTTATCACTTTTTCCCTTCCATTTTCTTTTTTACCTTGAGCTTCTTCCGACATTCATTATACTTTCACATGCCAACTTTAAGTACAAATAGCACGCTGCAGTTGTGCATAGCCTTACTTGCCTTTTATTTATCAATTACCTACAAAATAAAGGAGTACCCTAATATGCTGTATTATTTTTCTAGACTGGCCCCTCATTTTGTTTTGTTCTTGTGAAGCACATTGTTTGTTTCTAATGAACACGGCCTACTCACCTAAATCATTCATTATCGAGAATGACTCTCATAAGATGTTTGTCCAGTATCCCGTCTTTGTTCACACTTGAAACTCATTTCAACTTAGAATACCAATCTGTATTAGGAGCATATGATAAATATGCAGAGAAGTTAGGGGGAAAAATGGTAGGCTGATGGCCGGTGGGGTGGTGGATGGCCGGTGGGTGGGTGGGGAAGGATAATTAAAAGATTGAAGGCGATTATAATTTATAGGGATGTATCCCTGAAATCTGACCAAAGAACTTGTGTTTGAGATCTTGGGACCATTTATTTCGCAATAATACAAATAGGGTACCTTCAAATCTAACTGCTTCTGCCCCTTCTCGAGATTCCAATCACTGCTTGTTTACATTTACCAGAGACACAGTTTCTTTTCTTGCATAAAATGAATATTATATAACAAAAATTTCATTTTCTTTAATAATGGAATGGAAGTATCCATGAAATAAATAGGAAATATTAAAAGATATTGTTCGACTTGAATCTTGTCATGCATCAAAGATTATTTAAAATTTCTTCTGCAGAAACTTGAATTGGGATTGATAACGCAAAAGACGTGCACATTAATACTCCTAGGAAGTAATGAACTGAATATATTTAAACACAGATTTTCGAAGTTCAATGGAAGTAGGTCTCAAATTGGCATTATGAACGAAAAGGACTAAAGTAAAAATTCTTGTCTCCTAGACTAATGTTTTATGAACTATATACCCAGATTTCTTTATTGTATATCTCCAGCCGACAGTTGGGAAATTTTTAATAAGTTCAATAGTGTCATTTATAATGCACACAGTCATATTTAAGTTAATTATTAATACTGCAGGTAGTTGAGAAACTTTTACATGTTTTTCACCATTCTAGGGAAAGTTTACTTCTGATATGAATTTTCTCTCTTTCCCAAGCATGGCATAGTCCATATGTAGTATTGGACATAATTTAACATAATAAACGTACAAATTTCATTATTTTTCATCGTCTAGTACCTGCATTACCAAGTATATAATGGGATTGAGATCTTGAAAAGCAGTCGTTTAATTTTCTTTTTCTTGACCTGGATAATTTCTTCTCTTAACAATTTCACCATGTTTTTGTTTACTGAGTTCCATTTTTTCTTTTATCTTCTTTTGTTGCTTTTAGTCCACAATCCTTTACTTCAGATGAGCTAATCATTTGGTGGGATCAAAAGGCATATTTCTGATCATTCCTTCTCCATATGCAGAAAGAAACTTCAACACGGCTATGCTTTCTGTCAAACATGACTAATTGCCCGTCAAATCTTCCAATATATTCACTTTTTATCTAAATCCCACGATTCAACTTTCAACCTATACTTATCGAAGAAGAATTTCTCTGCTCAAGAAGATAGGGTGTGGTCCTCTCTATCGCTGCTGATTGTGAGTTTTAATTCGAGAAAAGCAATTGGTCCCTTCCCATGAGGTAGTCTCTTTCTGCCACCTAGCTACCATCCACATCAAGATGAAAATTCTCTTAAAGTGTAAAGTCCAAGTTTTGAAGCCCTATTTAGTGATTTTTCTTATTCTTCTTGAAGTGATTTTTTGGAATAATTAGAGTTACTAAGTCTCATTTTAAAATCATATAAGAAGATATAGACCAGATTATAAAGGCTGGGTGAGTCTTGACAGTATTATTAAGGACCCAAAATTCAGTTGCTGTCGATGGCATTAGTAGGGTTTAACATCATCCTCAGTGTACATATCAGGCCTGCATCTGTTGAAACATGTGATAGGAGTTCAACTGACTTTTGTAGTTGTAGATAAAGCATTTACGACATCTTTTTCTAAATTTGTATATCGAATGGACCCTAAAATTATTTCATTTTTTGCTCGATTAGAATTCTAAACGTACTTTACTAAACACTGTGTTCCTAACAAAGAAAGCTAATTATCGTACTTGATCAGGTCGGTAAGACCTAATTCACCAATTAAGAGCCTAATAGCATTTATATGCTTGATGAGCATTTGATAAGATTTTCACTGGCACATTCATCTGTCAGATTCCGAGGTACACGTGGCTGCCTATGCACCATTCTTTCTGTGGATGTTTGAAGAGGGCATCTACTTTTCTCCAATCCCTCGGCTTGTATTATAAGTATATACTCTAAATGAAAGAGAGTTTTCCTCTTTGAAACCATTATAGGGCTTGAAAAGCTGTATACTGAATTCAGAAAATTAAATTTGAACTGTAAATTGATCAGCTGTTCTCTTCTCAGATATATCCAACTTAATTATCATTCTCAATAATGAAGACCGTAGAAGTTGCAGAATTACAAAGGTACACGTCTCTTATGATTGTCTTTCTGTTGTAAAGGCAAGTTGTCATGAGTTAATCCATTTCTTTCTCGGGTTACAACAGAAATATATCCATTGATTTCTTGAAAATATTGTATTATAAACTGTATTTCAAGTTTCAACCAAATTGAGATCTATTTTAGATCCTATATAGTTTGCAGGACCCAACTACTTCATTGCATATTATCTTGAGGAAATTTTAGTTCATCTGTAACAGAAAACAATTATTTGGCAATATGTTCTAGTCAATTTTTATTTTATTTTTATATTTATTATTATGCAATATTTTTCTCATGAAGTGGTTATGATATGAAAAATAGCTGCATCAAATTTCTGATCATTTTGCTAATTTCCATCTTTTTACGTAGCAGAAAATCATGAGGAACTGGGAGAGGAAGTTTATTCAAAGAAATAAATTAGGAGAGAGAGAAGATTCAATGTCCTCCCCATATTGGAACAGTTTATTTGTAAGTTCAATTTCTTTTGCCCAATAATTAAAGAGTATACAAGATGAATACGAGAGAAGTAGATTTCAATACAAAACAGGAGAGCAGCACAGGTGATGTTGGCAAAATTTCTTCATCCAGTTCAACATCTTGGTCCAGGTTAAAGGATCCCCGAATTGTGCGTGTATCACGAGCACTTGGAGGAAAAGATAGGCATAGCAAAGTATGTACCGTAAGGGGCCTTAGAGACCGGCGCGTAAGGCTTTCTGTTCCTACTGCAATACAATTATATGATCTTCAAGAACGATTAGGGCTAAATCAGCCAAGCAAGGTGGTTGATTGGCTACTTAATGCTGCAAAGCATGAAATTGATGAACTCCCCCCTCTCCAAATCGCTCCAGGGAGCTTTAGCCAAAGCCTTCATCCAGTGCTAAATTCACATGAATTTATAAGACCTCAATCTGAAAAAGAAGTCATGAAGATCTGTAGCGGTATCAATTGGAACGAGCCCTTAAAACAATCCCGACCAGATCTATGGCTGGACAAGTCTAAGGATGTTGCAGGTGAAACAACTATGACAAGAAGTGAAGACAAAAGGCTATGTAACCTTGAGGGCCAAGATGCTTATGTTTCTCCAAACAATCTTTTCCCAAGGCCTAATCAATCTTCTCTCCCAGGTTTTCTAAACAATGCAATGCCGTATAATTCTTTTCTCAGATGGGATCCTTCAAATTTGTCGTTATCTCATTCGCAAAGCGCTGGATTGCCAGCCCAACCAGAAGATTTCCACAACTTCAACCTTGTACCATTGCCTTCATCAGCAGTATCTGTCCCGTCAGGTTCTCAGCCGGTTCTTGTTTATCAACCTAGAATGACACAATCTTATTTTCCTTCACCAGAAGAATTTGATCCAAAACAAGTAAACTTTCAGATGTTGAATCCCATTTCCCAATTATCAAATCCCCTTACTTCACGTGTTCACTTCACAGCTGAACCAGTTAGACCATTCCATTTCAGCATGACATCAAGTGTTCCCCCTTCCCAAAACAGTGGTGGAAGGGAGCCAAACAAACATGACGAATTCAATGACCCAGTCTAAGTTTTCTGCTTTTTGATTAATGGAATTAACATTCTTAGAATCGATGATATTTTTCCACAAAATTCTCTTGGAGGTTGTGATTTTATGGATGATTTCGTGAATTAGCTTCATTGAGCTGGGAATGATAAACTCAGGTCAGTAACACCCGATGATGAAAATGTATTTTTACTATTCTGGAAGATGACTACATAAGATTTTGCTGTTATAGTTAATATTTATTGCCCTCAAGGATTGTGGATCATAGTTAAAGTTTGCCATTATGGTTGTTTTGGTGTAATTCTATATATATATGTTCCTTATTTTGGCTCTAGAAATACTATGTCTATTTGTATGTTTTTCCATAGAATTTCTCTTCAAATTTTCCATGAATTATATATACAATCCAATTTTGAATTTTCTTGAGCAACTCTTGAAAAATGTGCTTTAGTTAAATTTTGACCATGAAATGATTTTTCTTTATGCTCATTCTTCCTCATTCTTTAATCTCTGAATTAACTCAGAGTTAGCCCCTTGACGTAGCTCGTAGATCCAGACATAAACACTAGTTGGAGTCAACACCTCTATGAGGAATTCCTAAGATCCCCAAGAATTTTTTTATCTCGATATACTACCTCCTTTCAACCCTTTGCGTCTTAGTTCCTTGTAATAACTTCAGAAAATTTCCAGGACATATTGCCCAGCATAGAGAATACTGGTCTAATGCCAGAATTTCTTGAATCATGAAGCAGCTGCTGCTGCTTATGATCAGTAGAAGAAAAATAACAGAAAAATGGCAATATTATATTGTGTGTTCTTGAATGAATGAGACAGTGGCAGTCCAACAAAACACTAGTCAATAAAAAGAAGCTGCAAATTATAAGTAATTTGAAAGGTTCCTTGTAAAGAGAATTGTACAAATAGCATGATTAATACTGAAAAGATAGTGTGTGGTCCTAAAAATCAAGAAAAGGATGTAGGAGGCACAAAGTAACTAGGGTTTGGAAGCTGTGGTCTTGAAGACAACATTATGCATATCTTTATGGGTATATTACCACCACAACTTATGTTTGTTACGATTCTCTATAATTAAACCTTAACCAAAATATATTTTTTATGGGTAAACCACAACAATTTTACAATTAAAACCCTAGCTCAATTAATTTTTTTCTTGAAAGTACAATATCGTGGTGTACATGTCATTTTCTATATCCACCTCATATTTCTTTCTCTCCCGCCCCCCATCGTCGTTCTTTCGAGACAAACTCAGGCATCCCATCCCTAGTCTCAACTCACCGGCTAAATAATCTTAGCCATATTCCTATTTTTAATGCCTGCAAATAAACAACAATTTTGAATCCATAAACAAAATTTCTAGGCAATTAATCTCAATTCCCAAGTAATTGGTAGATCCACCAATGGGTATGTTAAAGATAATGGTTTTATGCATTTTCATTTGATGTTTCTATGGAGATGTGATTTCCATATCCTCCTTTAATCCACTTCATTTCATATTTTCTTGTATCTATATTATTATTATTATTTTAAATTGTTCTCTACAGTTTCTTAGCGTATATGTCAGTGAAATATTTAGCAATCTTCATTCATTTGTTGCCAAATAAACCTATGGTCTGCCATTAGCCTTCCCTCTTCTTCTTCTTCTTCACTGAAGGCGGAACCGCACCATTCACCACCTCTGGGAGAAAAAGGAAAAACACAAGTTAATGGTTGTGGTGGTGGAAACACACACACACAAAAATCTCTTTATTTTTCTTAACAAAAAAAAGGTGGATGAACCGCGGGAATCTTGTCTTTTGTTCATTCCTGTGTGTCGTTCTTTTCTAAAGAGAAGTGTCTTTACTTTCAACGATGTCATTAGACTTGAAGTCATTGTTTAAAGATTTTCCTTTCCTAGAGATACATAAATTAAGAGCACGTTTGTTTCTCTTTTTTATAATAAGAATGCATTTTGGAATAATAAATTGATAGATAATATACGGTTAAAAGATAAGAAAAAATTTTGAGTTTGCGTGTAATATTTATTTTATTGAAAAATGTGTTGCTCAAAAGAAGAGAGATAAAAATGTATTTTGAAAAAAAAGGTCTCAAACCACGGCTAAGAACTTTCTAGGGACTCCATATGAAATGTCAAGATTTGAAAGATCCCTAAACAAGTTAAGACAAAAATCACAAAATACGGTAAGGGTCCGTTTGATTGCAATG